GAAGCTTCCTTTCGTGCACGCGTGGGGATGGCTTGCACTGCCAGCCGCAGCGGGGTGCGCTGCAACCCCATTTCTGGCTGCCTCCTCCCCGCGACCCCGTGGCCCTGAGCTCAACGCACAGGATGCCTAGGGATCGGGAAAGGAGGTCAGCTGCTTTTGGGAAACTCTTGCTTTAAGTCTTTGCCTACATTGCGGCTCGCCCCTGGCCAGATAAAGCCCAGAGAACAAGCGTTACACTTGGTAGCACCGCATGGTTCATCGGGGCCCGGACCCGATCCCCACACGGGTGACATCAAGCACAGCTGAAAAACAAACGATCGCGAAGAATATATTAAACATTTTACTTTGTCCGTTTATTTGCATCGAAATAAAACCAATTTCCCATCTAGACGAAACCTCTCCCAATTTCAGTGCTCTTTTCTGCAAAATGGAGGTTAACAATGAGCCACTCACAGAGGGGGGGTCGATGCACGGTCCGGAACCCTAGCAAGCGGAAGCCAGCTCCATTTCGGCATCCAATTCTGGAGAAAATGCATTCCCGCCAAAAACGATTCAAGAGGAGTGCCCCCGGTTCTGCCGTCCTACGCGATATGACGGGCGACGATATGCAGAGGCTGTAGAGGAGTTCCTCAATTCCGTATACCTATACCTCCGCCTTCAAAATGCCCCAGAAGAATTCCAACTCCTCCTGGCCTCTTTCTTGTTAGAAGGGGACGCACGGCGATGGCGGCTATAGTTAAGCAACGGCTCCACGTTCCCGGAGCACATCAGGCCCATGTAGGCCTTCCGGGACGCGCTACGTTGCAGGTTTATCCCGACGTCCCCAAGGGAGTAGGCAATGGCAGAACTGAGAAAGCTTAAACAGGGAAGACTGTCAATAGAGCGCTACATTGAGAAATACCATTCCTTGGTGAACTGAAGTCCGATGGTGGCCGCGGAGCTCCACTACAATTGGTTTATAGCGGGGCTGGAACCTGTAGTGAGGCAAACAGTTACTGGCTGGGCCAAGGACAGGGAAAGAGGGGCGAAAAAGTGGAACTCGCTGACATGATGGAATACCTCCGCAGAATGGAAAAGAAAAACGCCACATCCACAGCCTTAGCTGAGAAGGAAGAAAGCGGGCCTGGGAACGATCCCGATTTGGAACCAATGGATATTGGGTCTGTGAGCACCAAACCAGCTAAACACGGGGCTAGAGGCGGCTACCGTCAGCAGACGGCGAACTCACCACCTAAAAAGCAAGACG